CTCCCCGCTCCCCGCGGCGCGCCCCCCCACCAGCCGGGGCCCCCTCCGCGGCGCGCGGCTCGGCGCGCGGCTGCCCGGTCCCGGCGCGGGGCTCCCCACAGTCTGCCCTGGTCCCTCCGGCGCAGCGGTGCAACTGCTCGCGAAGTCCTCCTCAACCCCGCGCGTCGTCGCCGTGCCTCCTCGACGCCGTCCCCCCCCCCCCCTCGCGTCCTCCCGCACCTTTTAGCGCTCCGCTCCGCTCGGCGTGTCGCCGACGACGCCGGCCACCTCGAGCGTGACCCCACTGCCGCCGTGGTGTCCTCCCCCCTGCGCGTGTGTGTGTGTCAAGTGTTGTGCGTGTGTGTGTGATGCGCTGACGGCATGGCGGGTGCGTCGTCAGGCTCTCACCTGGTGTGGCTGGTGCTGCTGCTGCTGCGCGGCGGCCGCGCGGCCGGCGCCTCGGCGAGGACGTGCCGCCAGGATGATGTGACGTTTGAGCTCATCACGGGCTTCGTGTACTCGGCGCCCAAGGACGTGCTGGACACGCGCACCGGCACCCTCAAGCTGTCCGAGTGCATCGCCGCCTGCCAGGAGCACGGCGACTGCCAGAGCCTCAACTTCGAGACCGGCCTCTGCGTCCTCTTCTCGTCCAGCGCCGAGACGCATCCAGGTAAGCGACGACGCCGGCCTCGGACGTAACCTGTTGCCGTGGGTTGTTCTCCGCGCAGTGTCGATGCAATGTATGCGGAACAAAACTTATTCCAACGGTATTAATTTTGGTGTACGCCGGAAACCCAAACGTGTGAAATTGAATCGCTGAGACGGTGGGGATTGAGTGACAAGTTGCGTCTGTGTGAAGCATTCTCTTCATTCTCTTTAGACGAAAAAAATAGGTCGTCAGAAGTAATACATAAGTGAATTTTGGGACAGTCAAGTAAACTTGAACGGTCCATTATGTTCCTTTCCGTGCAAAACAGCCAAAAAACAAAGCTCTCGAAATAATAAAAATGTGCTCTATCTGGAAACAGAGGGGACTTTGACCTCACTGGAAAAACTAATGTTACCGATGGGAACGTTTCATCATGTGACCAAACCAGGTAACGTTTCCTGACGCAGACTACCCCACTCTAAAAGATAGGGCCATCACAAACAGGGTGCATCACCAAACGTTTCCTGGTTTGGTTGCGTCAAGAAAACGTTCCCTCGGTAACATTAGTTTTTCCAGTGCTGCTGCGACCTGCTGGCTTGTTGCACTTTTCTCACCTTAAGCAAAATGTTCTCGTAAGTGGCCGCACGTGAGCTTATGTTAGCTGTAACCAATTTTTTTTTCTTGAATCGAGAAACTCTTTTTCTGAGTGTGTGCAGCAGGTGCAGAGGATAAACTTTTTTTTTCAATCAGACCATACCGTAGTGATGCTAGTAATTTCACACGTTCAATTTGTAGAGTACTTCTCGTTTCCTGACGTTGCCGGTGGCATGCGGTATGATTTTCTGCTGACGGCAGCATGCGCTCGTGCACATCATGATGCACCGAGTCGACGGTGATTGAACGGCGGACCGTGTTGGATTGCGAGTCGTATATGCCCCGTGCCGGCGATAGGTGGGATCTGGATCAGGGATGGAAGGGTGAGCAGCCGGGTCAAGGATCAGACCGAGGTGCACTTCGCACTCAAAAAAAA